TGACAGTCGATAAGACAATATCAGATGACAGTTGATAAGACAATATCAGATGACAGTAGATAAGACAATATCAGATGACAGTAGATAAGACAATATCGGATGACAGTAGATAAGACAATATCAGATGACAGTCAATAAGACAATATCAGATGACAGTCGATAAGACAATATCAGATGACAGTCGATAAGACAATATCAGATGACAGTCGATAAGACAATATCAGATGACAGTCGATAAGACAATATCAGATGACAGTCGATAAGACAATATCGGGTGACTAGTAAGACAGGCGACAAGATAAGCATTATTTTTTATCTGGTTGGACTCATCTTTTGTCGATTCTATCTCGTAAGATCACCATTAGGGTTCAAGGCCCCATTTGGGTAGGAATAAATAACCCTGCCGCCCCCCACACCCCGCCCCCCCACAAACAAGCATGTCGTAAAGGTGACTTATTAAGGGTGCTTCCTTTAAGTCGGAGTGCATCTGTCTGACGGGCAACAAACCAACAGTCTGCATATAAGCCAGATCTGTAAAATGGATGTGCATGCAAAACTTAAGTTCTGGAACAAGCCCAAAGACTAGAAGTGGATGAGCAACCAGAACTTTCCACCTGAATTTACAGCCGGTGATTGCAAAGAAGAATCATAAGTTCTGTCTCATTGGTGAATCAAACATACGACCATCAGACAGCCAGATCACATTCTAATGTCCTGCAGGAGGCTTTTATAGAAAACCTCACAAAAAGAAATACTTTACTGTTGTTAACTTCTCAATCCCTGAGCAGATCTGTTTGTTTACCATCTTTGTTATCACTTACTATCTTATATCTGTTATCACAGTTGTGTGAACTGTCTTTATCATTCTTGTGTATCCACTCGTGTATTCCATTACTCTTTATCACTAGTTATAGTCTGTACAACTGCCTATTGTTTTTACTGCTGCTTACTGTCTTATTACTGTAAATTTTCCTTAAGAAATGTGCACAGATATTTACAGAACATCTTTTGCTATTTGTAAACTACTTTGACATTTTATACCGAAGCCAACCACACACCTGGGAATAAGTCATTAAGGCTGACCGCTGGTCTGTTGGTGTCGATGGTCAGTTTATGAACTGCAGCCTTCACAGGGAACACAGGCTTCAGTACCAGCTTGGCAGGAAGATGTGCTTTGACCATTATCACTCTCCGACCACCTGGCATACACAAGAACAAAAACTGACTTTAAAAATACATTCAATGGGATAAATAATACATGGCAAAACTACGTGTTGCTTATACCATCAGGGCCAATGTTGTAATCATTGAAGAATAAATAAGTGCTTTTGAATTTAAATCTTACAGAAAAATTATTAGAACACCACTGACCAAGAAGAATATAAAAAATAACATCTCACATGATCTGAACCTGGGGAAATTGTCTTATAAACAGTATCCTGACTCAAAAACTTAGGTATTTTTTCCATGTTAAATGGCATTGTGGCCTGTAAAAAATGGTGATGGTGCGTACAGTTTCCAGAAAATAAAGGCAGAGGCAGGCCTCTGCAAAGGTGGATACAAGACACTGAAGACCTGTTGGTTATGAAACCAGACAAAGCTAGAAACTAGGCTAGAGAAAGAGAGACTTTCAGGTGTGCCATGACGAGAGTGACGTTCTGAAAAGAACCTGTTAATAAATGTTGATGATGATGCCCATGAGTTACTCGGACTCATAAGGGAAGGAAAGAAAAGTAACGATGTAACATTCCATGCATGCCCTAAGAGGTAATTAAGAAAGGTTACAGTAGGACTGACTACCTCATCCTGGAGAATACCTGAGCTGCAAAAATCGAAGCAATCATAACCGAGTTTACAAAGAATGGAGTGAGTTGGTTGAGGATTTAGATCCAAACGGAAACTGAAAGACACAAGAACGAAAAAATGAAGAAGAATACTATTCTTTTTTTTATCAACAGCAAGCAGCCTTGGGGCAGGTCAGATGTTTCCTGGTCCTCAGCTGTCCGTCTTGTGCCCAGGGAATGTTTTTTTCCCTAGAAAATAAGGTGCTGGTACTAAATACAAAGCAAAGTGTCCACTACAGTAGCACCAAACAAATTATGTCTAAAAAAGGTGCAGGTACCGTGTACCCCTGCCCACCACCTGAAAATGGCCCTGCTTCTGCCCCTACCTTACACCCATCTGCCATCCGTGACATTGCAATAGCTACCATCTTTAGAAATAATCTGATGGCTTCTTGTTGGACTTATCGGTGTGAGGCTGCTGGTGATCTGTCACCCAACCTGGTACCAAAGTAGCCTCACCACAGGAACTGCTGCAGAGATCTTCTCTTCTCTAAATTCAGAAACTCACAAGATGGTATATGACTGGTACCGAACTTCATATCTGTTGAGATGCCTATCAATATGTAGCCAGGTCATGATTGAGCCCTGTACAGAAGCACAGACTTGATTAGGTCAAGGTTAGTCATGTTTCCTCCATGAGTTTTAGTGTGTCTCTGCACATACTGCATGTCTAAATATAGCCCTAGTCCTACGCAGTGCACACAGGCAATTATTTACAAACATGACTAGCATCATGTGCACATCAATTATAAAAATGTCAGCCATTACTGACCTGTAGCGGAAGAATATGTGGCTGACACCTGGACTTCCATGTGCGAGGGCAGGCCGTGAAAACGTTGGAATACGGCAACAAAAGTTTCAGATGGTGTATTAGGATCTGTCATAATAGAGGCAAAAAACAAGATCAAATAAAAAAAAACATAACAGCAAGATCACACAGAGATTAAAAAAAATATTAACTCTGATGCTTTACATAATGTCAGCTACAGTTATGGAAGACATGCCCAGATACAGTTATGGAAGACATGTCCAGATACAGTTATGGAAGACATGTCCAGATACAGTTATGGAAGACATGTCCAGATACTTGCCTTGCATACAAATCAATATTCTGTCTATTATACTGAGAGCCAACAAACCCCTAGAACCAACAAACACTGAGAGCCAACAAACACTGAGAACCAACAAACACTGAGAACCAACAAACACTGAGAACCAACAAACACTGAGAACCAACAAACACTGAGAACCAACAAACACTGAGAACCAACAAACACTGAGAACCAACAAACACTGAGAACCAACAAACATGGAGAACCAACAAACACTGAATACCAACAAACACCGAGAACCAACAAACACTGAATACCAACAAACACTGAGAACCAACAAACACTGAGAACCAACAAACACTGAGAACCAACAAACTAGTAGTGTGCTGCTTCTACAGACTTCTGATTCTAAGACATGCCACAGGATGATGCTGCACAACATGCACTATCATAGACCAAAAACTAAACTGGCAGGAGATTATAGAGTTGCTGGCCCCCAGAGATACTCTTTCCATAAACTACTACATGGAAAACCCCAGTCAACACTCACCCCATCCCAAAATCACAGACAAATGAAGACCATCAAATGCGAGTGCTCTGTTAATTTGAAAAATTAGTCTAGAGAAATTGATTTATACTAAATGATTATTTTCAAAGCACGCATTATGTTTAAAAAATTTTTTTTTAAGTCTAGATGATTTATTTCATTGCACCAAGTTTTATATCATATGGCTCGGTCTCCCTCTGCAGAAGGGCTAGCTGCCTGCCGAGAGCATTGTGAAATGAACAAACGACCTTCAGAGCATGAGGCAAACCGCTTGACCACCTTGCCACAGAGACCCCACACATGTGCGGTGTGGCACAAACAGGTTTCAAATGAAAGCTCCAAATACAAACTTTTGCAAGCTCTAAGACAGCCAGATAGTCATAGCAGTTCATCACAATGATAGAACATGATCTGTATTCATCACAATGATAGAACATGATCTGTATTCATCACAATGATAGAACATGATCTGTATTCATCACAATGAAAGAACATGATCTGTATTCATCACAATGATAGAACATGATCTGAATTCATCATAATGATAGAACATGATCTGTATTCATCACAATGATAGAACATGATCTGTATTCATCACAATGATAGAACATGATCTGTATTCAACACAATGATAGAACATGATCTGTATTCATCACAATGATAGAACATGATCTGTATTCATCACAGTGATAGAACATGATCTGTATTCATCACAATGATAGAACATGATCTGTATTCATCACAATGATAGAACATGATCTGTATTCATCACAATGATAGAACATGATCATGATCTGAATTCATCACAATGATAGAACATGATCTGAATTCATCATAATTATAGAACATGATCTGTATTCATCACAATGATAGAACATGATCTATATTCATCACAATGATAGAACATGATCTGAATTCATCATAATGATAGAACATGATCTGTATTCATCACAATGATAGAACATGATCTGTATTCATCACAATGATAGAACATGATCTGTATTCATCACAATGATGGAACATGATCTGTATTCATCACAATGATAGAACATGATCTGTATTCATCACAATGATAGAACATGATCTGTATTCATCACAATAATAGAACATGATCTGTATTCATCACAATGATAGAACATGATCTGTATTCATCACAATGATAGAACATGATCTGTATTCATCACAATAATAGAACATGATCTGTATTCATCACAATGATAGAACATGATCAGTATTCAAGTCTTACACCCACCACACAGACAGCTTCTACAACAATCTAAAGATTTGTATATTTAAAAAATCCAACACAAGAAACTATCATACAAAATATATCTCACTTATTTCTGACAAGGTAAAATCTGATTGGTTGCATGCCAGGGGCCAAGGGCAGTGAACTTCCAACTTTACAAATTGCAACACAAGTCGACTCTTCATTTGAATCTGTAAAATGGAAGAAATCAGTGGTCCAAGTTAGACAACTCTGCTAATCCATCATAAACTGAAGATCTAACAATTTGTTGTACAAAACACACAAAGAAAAACATAAATAAATATACCAAGTCCCCTATGGGTTCTGGGGCTCCATTGTGGGGGAAAACAAGAATAGACCCATCGCTTGCCCAAAAGCATGCTGTAAGAGTCGACTGACTGGGAGCTTACTTCGAAGTTGCAGCACATCTGACTGAGAGGCAAGGAACCAACAGTCTCTATGCAAATGAGTCAGACTGTAAAATGGATGGGCACGCAACACTCAGTTTCTGCAACAGAGCTAGAGTCCAGAAGTGGATGAACAACCAGAACTTTCCTTTGAAGTTTACAGCCAGTGAATGCTAAGAAGAAGAAATATACCAACATCCCCTACCCCTTATAAAATGTTACTGGGTGAGAATAAGAAATTAATGAAGACTACACAGATGTGAGGGAAGAGATTAATATTCCTCCTATTTCATGTGCAGCGGTGGGTGGGTGTGTGTGTGCTTGTGTGTGCACACTGCAGCTGTATTTTATCAATAAGCATGTTATATTCATATGATAATATGCATATTATGAATATCAAAAAAGAGGAAAAAAAAGAAAAAGCACAAAAGCATGGGTGGTAAAATGCATGCAAACACACACACACCTACCCACTTACTTAAACACACCCACATACCTTCACACACACATAAACACCCCCCATTCACCCACATACACACCTATATACCCATACAGACACGCACATTCCACACACATACAAACATACAGATATACTCACACAGACACACCCATAGAAACAAATGCAGATACACACACACACACACACAGACATATGCGCACATACCCAACCACACATGCAGCTACACACACACAGACACACAAATGCGACACACCCACACAAACTGGCATACACACACACACAGACACAAACACACAGAGATACACTCAGAGACACACAAACACACACACAATCGCACACACACACACACGTGCTGATGCTCACGCAGACACATACACACAACCACAGGCACACACACGCAGAAACTTACGCAGGTATCATACACACAGGCACATGCACAGATACACACCCATAGACACACAAATGCAAACACATAAGCAGACATACATATACACAGGCACACATAGACACACACATGTAGATACATCCAGAGACATTACACACAGAGATAGACACAGACAAACACAGAGACATACACAGATATATACACACAGAGATGCATATACACAGGCATTCATGCAGATATACACACAGGCACATACAAAGACACACACACAAACACAACAAAGACACACACATACAAACACACAGCTACATACACATAGAACACACATACAAGCGAACACACGCACAGACACATGTAGACACAGATACACATACAGACACATACACAGTCCTACATGCACAAACACACACATACACACAAACAAACATACACAGACACACATACATAGATACACACCCACAAACACAATACAAATATCCTTACATATAGAGATGCACGTATACACAGGTATTCATGCCAACACACATGTACACACAGCCACATACACATAGAACTCACAGACACGCAAACACATTCACAGGCATCTGCCGGAGAGGCAAGGAACCAACAGTCTGCACACAATTGTGTTAGATCTGTCAAACGGATGCACACGCAACACTCAGGTTCTGGAACAGGGCTGCAGTCCAGAAGTGGACGAAAAACTAGAACTTTCCACCAGAGTTTAAAGCTGGTGAACGCAAAGAAGAAAGAAGAAGAAGACAGGCACATGCAGACACATACACAGATACACATGTAGACACATACACACAGTCATACACGCACACACACACTCGCACAAACACACATACATAGATACACACCTACAGACACCCATTATTAACACATGCAGAAACAAAGATACACACAAACAAACACATACACAGAGATGCACACGCAAACGCACAGGCAGTCATGCACACGTAGACACACTTGCATACATACAAACACAGACAATCGCTCACAGACATATACACACAGACACATACACACAGAAGACATGCATGCAGACACTCACACACACATAGACACACACACAAACATAAAAAGCACACACACACACAAACAAACACGCGCATACAAACACTGACACATAGACACAGACACGCCTACACAGAGACATAATCACACACAATCCCACAGACACACACACACAGACACACACAGTCTCATGCATATGTAGACATACAGGCGAAAATACACACATTCACGCAACAACTTATACAATTACCAATACACACACTCATACATACACAAACACGCCTACACATACATACCACACATTTACATGCCGCACATACATACATATCATACACACCTTTTCAAATTATTAACTGATAATGCAAAATGGATTAATAATTACATTTAAGGTGGCATATAATCACTTGTAAGCATGAAATGAAAAAGTTTGCGGTTAAATGAATAGGAACTTTTTGTATTTTTCAGATCAAGTGGTAGCTGGTTCCATAAATGAGCAGCAGAATATGCTAAACTGGTTTTAAAATAAATCTACTCTAGGTTTAGGTAAATGTAATAAATTTAGCCTCTTGCTGTAGGTAGGATTAGATTTAATCAACTGGAAAAGGTAGTTTGGAGAGAGAGAGAGAGAGAAAGAGAGAGAGGGGGGGGGAGAGAGAGAGAGATAGAGAGAGAGAGAGAGAGAGAGAGAGAGAGAGAGAGAGAGAGAGAGAGAGAGAGAGAGAAGAGCAAGGAAGAAAGATTAACCATGAATGATGGTGCAAACGATCTCACCCTAAGTGTGACAGACGGCACATCCCCTTCCTGTGAGAATTCTACACCAGAGGCCAGCTGTGGACAGTGAGAAAATCAAACAAAGACAAGCCAAACTCTGGGGTCGCTAGAACAGTCCTCTTTTTCCTCAGCCCCTGATACCTGACATTAAAAAAGCTGTTTCCTCTTTCTCCTACTCCCCCTCCTATCCCTCCTCCCACTACTGCGGTCAACTGTCATTCTTCTATTTCTCTCTATCTCTTGTTCTCTGACTTTAATATATCCTTGCCGCATAGATCCTCAAACAAAGCAAGCCAAACCTGTTTATCTTATTTCCTACAGCTCTGTCCATGTCCTCCATTCAATAATCTTCTCCTTCTTTAGCATTCCAACCCTCCGAGGTTCCCTACTGCAGACATCACATGTCTCTATTTATCACTGTGATTGGCCTTCTCTTTCCATTTTAAATAATGCAAACACATTGCACAAATTATTGCCTGGCATGTTTTATGGTATCTGGTCATGTTCTTTACCACAGAATGTATTTCAACATGTAAAGAAGCACACACAAAAACACCCTGCCATTTACTTTCTTTATTATACCACTTTTGTGGAGGGGAGGAGGAGGGAGGTGTTAGGATCTTTGAACCTGAGGATTTACGGCCGCATGACTAGTGCTATCGCCACTGACTATTTAAAAAAGCATGCACACACAAATTAATGTTTTTCCCTAAAAAGCTTTCTCTGCATGAAATATGCCAGGTAATAATTAAAAAAATTTTCCGTTGTTTGAGCCGAGTTGAACTGATTCAAGAACCGACATCACAACACTAGGGGCACTCCCATAAACACTCCATTCCCATCTTCAGCAGCCAGCGCAGTTTTCATACCAATGGTGCCAGTAGCAGTCTGATTACATGTCCATCTTGTCCTTTCCTCTGAGCGTCAAGTATCTTCTTCTTCTTCTTCACGTTCACCAGCTGTACACTCTGGCAAAAAGTTCTGGTTGCTAGTCCACTACTGAACTGCAGTCCTGCTCCAGAACCTGAGTGTTGCGTGTGCATCAGTTTTACAGATCTCATTCTCTTGAATACAGACTGTTGGTTCCTTGCCTCTCCGGCAGATGCACTCCGACTTCAAAGGAAGCTTCCCAATTAGTCAACTCTTACGACATGCTTTTGGGGAGGCAGTGGGTCTGTTCTTGTTTGTGTGTGTGTGTTTTTGTGTATCGTGTTCTCTAGCCAGCAGAAAGCTGCAGTGACCACCTCCACTTTCATTCTTAAGCTTGATGTCAGTGCAATAAGCTAGGCTCTCCTGCAATAAACGTCCACCATTAACCTTTGCTAAGAACCCCCATATTCTTATTTTGCCTCGTGACACTGAATCATCTGAATAAATAATCACATCACCAGAGCCAGCATTATCCTGAATTTCCACCTCCATGGCATCTGCTGGCTACTTCCTGCACTTCCGACTCCATGTGATTATGACTCTCCACAAGTCTGACAATTATTTTTAGATGACAAAAGAAAATATGGTTCTGAACAATCTGGAGACTGTTGGGAAAATGTCTCATTTAAAATACACCTGAACTTCAGTGTTGAGCTGAATGTTGAACCTTGACAAAAACTGGGACAGAACTACTCACAGAAACGTCATCTAGGTTTGGGCTGACATGAACGTTGAGGGACAAGTCATCCTCTGTCTTCAAGGATGGGGTGATCACTGGCAAGCAAAAGAAAGTATCAGCAATAGTAAATGACAACTCTATAAAAAAATTTTTTTTAAACATATTTGCTCAGGAATAAAACAGCTTCTTCTTTTTTCATCTCATTGTTACCAGGTTGTAGCCCAGTGTTGTGGATAAATCTGGTTATAAGCCGGAAAGTTAGTGTCTGTGCCTTGGGAGTCTGCCAGCCTGTAGCTATCTGTTCATGAACTCCAGTGCTGAGCAGCCAGTCAGATATCTCAATCAACTTCACCCACACTGATTTACAGGTTATCTTCTAACTGTTTTGTGGTGCAATCCTGAAGAGCTAACACTTAAAAAATAATCTTATCTCAGTGTTAACTCTTTAAGTGATTATTTAGTTAGCTATCTCTGTATGAATATAGGTCTAGCCCTATATGCCCTACAAGCCTAAAGGCATGGAAAAGGGTCCTTTACTTTTTTTGGTTACTTTATGAACACTGTATCTGATCAATCATCTAGATATCTAAAATGAACTATTTAAAACATATTAGCAATATGTCTGTATGAACACTGTATCTTATTAATCGGCTAGATATTTATAATGAACTATTAAATGAAAGAATCAACACTGAGTCACAAACTAAAATCTGAATACTGATAGTCACCAAACATCTTAAAATTAGCAAAGTCATATCCTGTGTATGATGTGACAAGCACACACTAATTGCAAATACCTGTGTACTTATTTATACCCTGTATACAAAAATTATACTCATTCAAAAATTACAAACAAATGTGAACAAACAATAGTAACATTTGTCATGAAAATTATAAAGTCAGAAGTAACAGTTTTATCAACATGTGCAAAGTACTTAACAGGAATTCCAAAAAAATGATCATAATTTAAACTTCAAGAAATGAGAAATCCTCTGTGTGTTTCTGGCATCCATAAGGGAGGTGGAAGAACAGTAACACTTCAGTTGCCTAATCCAATCACTCATGAATACAGGAAACACACAATTCAGCTGCCTCTTCTTCTTCTACTTCTACATTTGCCCTTAAAAAAGCTACTGACGCGTTGTGTAGTGGTTGACAGCTAAACTGTGGTATCTGCATATTTCGGTCCAACACATCTGATTTCAACAAGTTCTTAATTAGTGGCCTTTATGACATGCTTGACAAGGGGCAGTAAGTCTGTTCTGTTTTCCTCTGGAACACATACCAAAACGAAACTAGACCGTCAGTTACCTTCCTTAACCAAGAATCATTCAGAATTAGCACCTGGAATGTTAGAACCATGAAGGTGTGGCCACATAGTGGCTAGCCCACTTGCCCGATAGCCTAGCAGTCATGTGTTTGAGCTCCCATCATAGTCAGGATCATTTAAATATGGAACTGGGGTTCCAGGACAACTCAGACTACAATGCGGTCCAGGGAGTGTTCTGGGTAGTAAAGACAACAGGCACAATAACTGTAGTCCAGGAAGTGTTCTGGGTAGTAAAGGCAATAGGCACAATAACTGTGGTCCAGGAAGTGTTCTGGGTAGTAAAGACAACAGGTACAATAACTGTGGTCCAGGAAGTGTTCTGGGTAGTAAAGACAACAGGTACAATAACTGTAGTCCAGGAAGTGTTCTGGGTAGTAAAGGCAATAGGCACAATAACTGTGGTCCAGGAAGTGTTCTGGGTAGTAAAGACAACAGGCACAATAACAACAACAAAATTTTTCCTGGTTCACATTTTTATTGGGGTTGACTCGTAAGCTGATATTAAAATCCTAGCTTCAAACAGATATCCACAGGGCTGGAAGGTAAGTGTGCTAGCCACAGAAAAGGAGGCCAAAGTTTAGCACACTGATCTCAGAGCTGAGAGGTACACCACTAAGAGTGTTGGATATTCTTTGGTAGAGGAATAAATGACAAGGAGAAAACAAAATCCAAACAAATGCACACATGATAAATCTGTGTTTTTATCTCCACACCACCAAGCTACATTAAAATATAACAATTGCCTTGATAATCGATAAAATCTGAAACTGAAACAAACAGAAACTATTAAATGAATTAAGACAATTTACATGACTGGGCATCAGTCCAAGGAAGAAACCAATGTAAATCTGAAAGTTGATGCAAAGTTATAAAGTGTGGCCTTGTCTAAATCATAATCAGCATTAATTTACATCTAAAATATGGAGCATAACGGTTACAGTGTCCGACTTCTAATGTGAACCTTTCAATGCTTTATTTAATTGTATTTATTCAGTTCTGCAATTTTTAGTGTCCTATTCCTAAGTTTCAAATGTCCTGATAGTGTATTATTCAGAGAGAAAGTTCTAGAAAGTTATCAACTTTTCAGTTCATTCTTCATCATTTTTATTAAGTAAAAGCCTACTGGAATGTGATTTGCTCTCAACCAAAGTGCAGCCATCTTTGAATTCATAGGATCATTGCCAAAGACCTGTTAAATCTTGCAAACAGTTTCCACAAGATACAGAGAAGCTGTAGAAAGAATGTCCATGAGTTTGCCAGACTCTGACCAGAGAAGCTGTAGAAAGAATGTCCATGAGTTTGCCAGACTGTGACCAGAGAAGCTGTAGAAAGAATGTCCATGAGTTTGACAGACTCTGACCAGAGAAGCTGTAGAAAGAATGTCCTTGAGTTTGCCAGACTCTGACCAGAGAAGCTGTAGAAAGTATGTCTATGAGTTTGACAGACTCTGACCAGAGAAGCTGTAGAAAGTATGTCCATGAGTTTGCCAGACTCTGACCAGAGAAGCTGTAGAAAGAATGTCCAGGAGTTTGACAGACTCTGACCAGAGAAGCTGTAGAAAGAATGTCCATGAGTTTGCCAGACTCTGACCAGAGAAGCTGTAGAAAGAATGTCCATGAGTTTGCCAGACTCTGACCAGAGAAGCTGTAGAAAGAATGTCCAGGAGTTTGCCAGACTGTGACCAGAGAAGCTGTAGAAAGAATGTCTTTGAGTTTGACAGACTCTGACCAGAGAAGCTGTAGAAAGAATGTAGGTAGTCTACAGAGACATGGACCCAAACAGTTCCAGTTAAACTGAAGGGACTGACTTCATTGCACCTGGTTTTATCCCAAATGGTTCAGTCTCTCTCCACAGAACTGTTAGCCAGTGCCCAGAGCATCACACACAGCATAAATTAAGTAGCTCCAGTAGCAATCACCAGGGATCTGCATACAAACTGCACTTGTGTATGAACAATGTAATCCCTGAAATGACCCCCCCCCCCCCCCCCCCCCCCCCCCATCCCTCACCAAACCTTCACAGTGTGAGGTGAATAGCTTGATCACTTCACTAGGAAGATGCCCCATGGACCCAAACAGATTGACAATCACCGTTTTCTAGTATTTCTGAGAATGGATTACATTTACATCATCCCCAGAAGCAACAGGTCTGACAGCAGCAACAGGTCTGAGAGAAGTGACAGGTCTGAGAGAAATGACAGATGTGACAGGTCTGACAGAAATAACAGCTTTCTATAGTAGAATTTGCATCAAAACAATTATTTGTTAGCAGAATACAATTCTGATGAATGTTTGCAATGATAAATCATTAAGTGAGACACATATTCAAAGGGTCTCATTTTTATGATCTGGGAGCCAGATGATGCAGTAGTGTACACCAACGGTTCTGTTCATCTGGGTAAAAAATCTGGTTGGGGTTTCGAAGCCAGTGATGGGAAAGATCATGACATAACAAACTGGAGCGTTTTTACCTACAACTTCAAGCATGAGAATGAAGGTGAAGACAATCACTGCAGCTCTGAAGTGAATAGTTAAACAGGAGAATTAACAGAGGAATCACAGTGTTGATTCTCTGTTGGTATGGTGGAATGTTTGAAATGGACAACTGTGGCATCAGTAGATACCAAGCATTACATCTAAATTACAGAGATTCACGTGGATAAATGGTCCCAGATATGCAGGAGTGTGAGGTAATGAAAGAGCAAATTTTTGGGCTATACAAGTGATAGCTATAAGACATCCATACTGGGCAAGGCAGACATTGTGAAAACTATTCACAAACAAATGTTGTTGGAAGATTTAGTAATTGAAATCAAATGTGTAAGGTTTTAGTAATTTGGAATAGACTGTGGATTCATCAAGAACAAGAAAGGACGTATGAGCGCAACAGTGTGCTCCTGGAACAGTCAGTATTTACACCTTATGACGTTTCCTCCCGGAGACGGAGCATCTAAGGGTATGCTTGGTAAGCTGCATTGTTGATTCTTAACACTTTTGCCCCAAGAGCTCTAAGATAAATAGGTCACCACCCCGTTAGGCTTCCTGAAAAAAATCTGTAAAAACAACTATTTTTAAAAAGGTCACTAATTAATTTGTTTAAACTTCATTAACTTAAATTTTTTAATTACTTTTTGAAATATATATAAAGATATAGGCAACTCAAGCTGTGACCCCGTGACCTTTACCATTGAAGCTTATGAGAAAATCTGATGTCATCTTGGTGAAAAATCCTTTTAGCACAAAGGAAAACCCCTCTAAATGCTTTTGTAGGTTATTTATTCATAACCCAATCTCTCTCACATGCACAGATGTGAACTTAGCCATCTTGTAAACATGTGCCAATAGGCAAGTTGGAAAAGTGACATGTACAGGGAACCGGACCCAACCAGAAGTGTCCATTTTTCAGGTTCTCAGGGTGAAAGAGTTAAATCAATGATGGGAGTCAGGTGACAAGTGCTACAGGCTGTCCCCCTTTTATGGTTTCTGGTTGTTGCATCTCTGGCAGTTTTTAAGAGGATTATTGTTTAGCGTCAGCTTTTGTTATAAGCTCTTATGATGGCTCCATCTGTGTAGTGTCTTCAATGCTCCATTTTAAAACTTAACCATGCCCTCTTCTTCTGTGATCACCCTGAAAAGGGCAACTGGCAAGTTGTGTTGTGGTTTACAGTTAGGCAGCAAAATCTGTGCTGCCCAGTGCATGGGATTTCAGCAAAGCTTTAATTAATTGCCTTTTACGAAATGCTTGCTGGGTTAATAGGTCAACTCTTCCTCCCTCTTCCTCCAAGTTAGTAGGTCAACTCTTCCTCCTCCTTTCTCAAAGTTAGTAGGTCAACTCTTCCTCCCTCTTCTTCCAAGTTAGTAGGTCAACTCTTCCTCCTCCTTCCTCCAAGTTAGTAGGTCAACTCTTCCTCCCCTTTCCTCAACTGATCCTGGAACCCACATGGAAAAACATCCCCTTCTAATAGTTGAGAAAAATTACAGCCCTGTTTAAAAAAGAAGTATGACATTCACAGTTTAAAAGAAGCACAACAGAGAAGTACACAAGAGAAACTGTAGTGATTTAAATATAAATGTCGCAAAGTTAGCCTCATCGCTTTGTTTGAAAAAGGTTATGTCACAGAATGAACTTGTGTATTAATACAATCAAAAAGTGGCAACTTACGCAAAGTTTGCCACTTGGATTCGGACAGGAACAAATTCCATCTTGGCCATCCACTTGAGCATCACATCCTGATAGACCATCAGCGACTTGGTGTGAGATCCAACCAAGAAGTTGATGGAGTTCTGTGATACTAGCAAAACATACAACAAAAATTAGTTCCCCTCACTTATTCTTCTACAGTATTTGTTTAACTTCTCAGTGAATCAATCTAAAGAAATCTGAAGAAATAACTAGCCGAAGAACAGGCGGGTTTCATGAAAGATAAAAGCACTACAGAACACATCTTCAACTTCAGAACAATGAGAGAAAAACACTTACAACATCAACACAACCTATTCCATAGCTTCATTGACTTGACGAAGGCATTAGACAGTGTGTGGTATACTAGTCAAGGGCTATTTTGTGTTATGTTATGAATCACTAAATCAATCAATCAGTCAAATGACATCTTCGCAATGAAAGTCAGCTGCAACAGATCTCCAACACCCTGGATGTACACTCTCTCAAACTGCTGTTTGTAAATCTCTTGATTTTGTATCCACTTGTATCGTTGTCTGCCTCTTGCACGCTTGTCTTCTATCCCCTCCCCCCCCCCCCTTTCCATGCTTTTTACAGAAATATTATGTCTTTTCATGTGGCTGAAATATTTCAATTCTCTCATTTTTATTTCCTTCAGGAACATTCTTTTCATTCCTTGCCTATCCAGAATCTGTTTTTGACTGTTTCTATTTCCATGAAAAAAAAGACCTAAGTTAAGAAGTGAAACCCAGAGAAGATCAACTCCACTGCACTGGTTTTATTCCATGTAGCTTGGTCTCTCAAGAGAATGGTTGGCTGTTTGTTGAGAGTGCTGCACAAAGCACAAACTTCATAGCTCTAGCAGCATTTCCCCCTGTGTCACCTAGATTGGTCCAGATCCTCCCAACATTATAACTGATCTAGGCTCTACAACACTATCTGTCACTACAGTAGAAACAAACCATTGTGAAGAACTTACATGATGCATAGGGAAGGAAACAAGATGGATCGTACTCCAACTTTTTGACAAACTTGAGCACCCCGCTATCAGTCAGGCAGAAAATATGGCGCTCGCCTGAAGAACAAAAATCAATTTATAAGGCTAATGTCTGATTAATGTCCGATTAATGTCCGATTAATGACTGATTAATGACAAAAACTAGCAGAACTTATCTGAGCCAGTTTTACCTCTCATGACATTTTGAGGTGGCTGGGTAAATTTAAACAATCTGTCCTGATATGGATTCAAACCCAAGACATTCAGGCTGGCAGAAAATCATAAATCCACTGAACTACTGCAGCTCTGAAAATTGCTCTCATAAACAATTTCAAACATTAAGTCCATCCAGAAACAATGTAGTTTAACATAAATTACTTCATTTGCAAAACAGACGTCGACAAAAGGAGATTTTCATAAAACAGTTTTGAAAAGTAAGTTGCATATCCTTTACAGGATGTTGCAGAACGAATCCCAACATTATTTGGCTGTTGTGGTTTTTCTAGGCAAATTTTACAATCAGTAGTTTGCCACTGCTTTCTAAACAGTCAGCTCTCAGTACCACTGTCGAAACCAATGAAAGACAAATAATCCGCAGCTGAGATGAATCCATCAGCCCAGCATTACGAAGCGCAGACGCCTAAGCCACAGATGCCTCTATATCATAAAGTACCTCTATTAAATACTTTTAAGCAAAAACTCACCTAAGACAAGAACATAAGGCGTTACATCTGGGTACTCCACAACTGCAATATCAAGAGCTTGTTCTCCAATGTTGTACGTCCAATCAGCCTTTAATGCAGACAGATGTAAAGGTTGTATTTAAATAAATCAAATGTTTTAATAAACATTTTGGCCACAATCTCACAAATAGATTTATAAAATAACAATGGAAATATCAACCAACATCTAATTACTTGTTATATATTATACACATTTTAAAGTTAAGAAAATATTTATAAATAAAAAGATACTAGGAAAGACTTTTAAAAAAACATCATCATCACACAAAGGTAATTTATGCGGTGAAGATTCAATGTAACCAGTCTCCACAAATGTGATTTATAACCGCATGGTGTACTCAGAACAGCTGATTCCAGTTTAGGGCTTTTGTCTGATGGTATGCAAAACTACTGGCACCTTTTTAAGGCCTTATGTCATTTTTGTTTCCGCACTACTTAACAGACACTTTGTGATGAGTACTGTACACATTTAAAGATATTTTGTGGTAAGGTTTTTTTATAGACAGAAATCCCTGCTCCTGTCCATAAATTGATCTTGCTTACACACTTGGAAACTAGTGGAGTATGCCAGCGCTGGAACTTCACATCTGCTGTAAGGCGTGTTAGGATGTAACCAGATCATGATTCGGTACATCGCATACAGACTGGAACTCCCCTAAGACCAGTCCCAAGCCCGGCTGTAAAAGGAGGAGGGTCTGGCTGAACCTGGGTGCTTCGGGCATCTCCGGAAGTAGTGGGTAACCGTGAATCAGCCAGACGGCCTGCATGGAGGCTGCAAGGAGGCAGCCCCTCCACCATGCAAAGGCACAACAGGCCAAAACCTGACGGATCTTAGCGGCGACAAACTGGCATGGCTTACGGGCTATAATATACGGAACATGGAACATAAGAGGCATTAACTGGAAGGAAAATGAGTTAGTAGGGGAGATGGGGAAAGAAAAATTAGGAGTCTTGGCTCTGACTGAAACCAAGAAAAGGGGGCAAGGAATCACAAATCATGATGGAAGTATGCTGCTCTACAGTGGTGTCCCTACGACGGAGAGAGCCAAGGGAGTTGTTGACTGTATTGTGGCCAGGAATAAAGTTAGTAAGGGATGGAAATTCATCACAGAGTGAATTATGGTGTTGGATCTGAAAGAAGAAGATGACATTGTCAATACTGTCACTGTGTATGGGCCACATAAAGATGAGCGAGTAGAAGTCTAAGAAGAATTGTTTAAACTGCTCCAAAGGACCATAGATGACTGTCACAATGAAATTATCCTCCTAGGAGATCTTAATACCACAGTCATCTATGGTCCTTTGGAGCAGTTCAAACAATTCTTCTTAGACTTCTACTCGCTCATCTTTATGTGGCCCATACACAGTGACAGTATTGACAATGTCATCTTCTTCTTTCAGATCCAACACCATAATTCACTCTGTGATGAATTTCCATCCCTTACTAACTTTATTCCTGGCCACAATACAGTCAACACCTCCCTTGGCTCTCTCCGTCGTAGGGACACCACTGTAGAGCAGCATACTTCCATCATGATTTGTGATTCCTTGCCCCCTTTTCTTGGTTTCAGTCAGAGCCAAGACTCCTAATTTTTCTTTCCCCATCTCCCCTACTAACTCATTTTCCTTCCAGTTAATGCCTCTCAATGAAATTATCCTCCTAGGAGATCTTAATACCAGAGTAGGAATGATCCCTCTAGATGGGGTGGAGTGATCGGAGATATGGTGAAGATGTTTAGAATGATAATGGCAAGCGACTTCTCAGATTATGAAGAGATCAGAACTTTGTCATTACAAACACAAAATTCCTCCACAAACATACACATGCATACACAAGATGTGAACCTTCAAAGAATGAGAAATCAATTACTGACTATGCAAGAGTAAGGAAAAGTTCATTCAAGTTTGTGAGACATGGCAGAGTCATAATTGGACCAGAGATTGGAAGTGACCACTATCTGGTCACAATAAAGAGAACAACTGAAAGAGCTGCTCCACAAGGCAACACCAACAACCATGCAAGAAACCAAGCAACAGCAACCGAGAAGGGATGAGGATTAAGGCATTCAAGCTAAGAGAGCCAGATATTAAGGCTAGATACCAGGTGCTTATAGTGACAGCAATAGAAACTGATGAAGAACCATCAGAGGACACTAAAACCATCCCATCACCTTGATCAGTGCAATACAGAGTTTCTACAAAAGCTGCAGAAATTATGTAAGAACGGCAGACCAAAAGTCAGAAGAATTTATGACCACTAGCTGTGTTGGACAAGGTTATTTTCTCTCACCTTACCTCTTCATTCTTATGATGGATTAAGTCATCAAGACCTGTAAGGTATTGGAAGTTGAGACCAATCTGTATATCAGAGCTGGCCCTGATAACTAAATCAGAGGCCCACCTTCAGTCCAATATACTTGTCTGGAAGAGCTTGAGAAGAGAGGGATGACCATCAGTATCTCCAAAACTAAAACCATGGTGATCTCAAGAGAGGAGAAGAAACACCAGATCATGATGGGACAGTATGCATTGGAGCAGGTCAACCATTTAAAATACCTTGAAGTTGTAAAAGACCGAAACGGAGGTAATAAGATCGAGCTGGCCACATGAAAAGCAGCTGCTGGGAGACTCTTCTGGGCCATGAATCGAGGGTTTCTTAGCAAAAGAGGACGAAAATGGCTGTTTACTGCTCTACGTATAAGCCAGTCCTGACCTATGGGTGTGAGTCAAGGGCAATGACAACAGCTCACAGAAGCCCCACGGCTGCCCGTGTGTAAGGTGATAACATTATGAGTAACAGTTTTGTGAGGGACTGGTGCAAGAAATTTAGAAATGGACATAAAGATGTGCGTGATGAGGGTGGAGAAGGATGGCATTCACCTGTGACAGACTTCAAAAAAACACTCCTAATTAGTGGACTTCTACAACTTGCTTGTTCGGGGTAAGTGGGTCCATTCTTTTTATCCCAATATTGGGCTTTTGGTATCATAGGGAGAGGTTGTGTTTCAGAACTTGAGTTTGTCATGTACAACTGTTTTACAGATCTGGCTTGTTTGTGTGTAAACTATTGGTTCCTCATCTCTCAGGCAGATGAACTCCAATTTTGAAGGAATCACCCCAAATTAGTCACCTTTTAGTTTGCAAACCCACAGGGGCCTCAACAAATGTAACAACAGATATTGTTCCAACAGGGTTCCACTCTCTTCATTTTCCACACAACCTGTTTGAGTTTTTTCCCCGGCTCACAAAAGTATGTTCCACACACAAAACTTACAGACACTCTCTTGCACACAAAACTTACAGACACTCTCTTGTCCACAAAACTTACAGACACTCTCTTGTCCACAAAACTTACAGACACTCTCTTGTCCACAAAACTTACAGCAGACACTCTCTTGCACACAAAACTTACAGACACTCTCTTGACCACAAAACTTACAGACACTCTCTTGCACACAAAACTTACAGACACTCTCTTGTCCACAAAACTTACAGACACTCTCTTGTCCACAAAACTTACAGACACTCTCTTGTCCACAAAACTTACAGACACTCTCTTGTCCACAAAACTTACAGACACTCTCTTGTCCACAAAACTTACAGACACTCTCTTGTGCACAAAACTTACAGACACTCTCTTGTCCACAAAACTTACAGACACTCTCTTGTCCACAAAACTTACAGACACTCTCTTGTCCACAAAACTTACAGACACTCTCTTGCCCACAAAACTTACAGACACTCTCTTGCCTGACTTTATGTTCTGACACTCTTCTCGGCCACCAGTTTCAGATGCCACAGCCAAAACCTGATACCTAGAATTGATGATAAATGCTAAAATGTTTATTTTATTACAACAAAAATGAAATGGGAATAAACTGAAAGTAATATCAAGAAATTTCACTTCGATTAAATGATCATCACAGATTTCCATTAAAAGTAATACAAGAAAACCGCATTCTATGTTGATATCACAAAAATATAAAAAGTTAAATCTAGCAGCCTCCAAACAACTTTTCTTTCGTTTAGTTATAAATGAGTCGTCACCTCTGCACAACTTTTCATTTAGTTAAAAATGACTCAACCCATGCACAACCTTTCTTTCATTTAATTAAAAATGAGCCTAGTGACCTCTGCACAACTTTTTATTTAGTTAAATATATGTCTAGTAAACTCTGCACAACTTTTTATTTAGTTAAATATATGTCTAGTAAACTCTGCACAACTTTTTATTTAGTTAAATATATGTCTAGTAAACTCTGCACAACTTTTTTTTCATTTAGTCAAAAATGAGCCAAGTGACCTCTGCACAACTATCTTCAGTTAAAAAGTTAATCCAAAAAACTACACAGATGAGATTTAATTTACTGTGAAAAGGGTAGACTGGAAACCTTACATGAAAACAATCACACACAAAGTACGCTGGGTACTGGAAGAGGAAATAGCTTTTACCAGAAAACAACAGATGAGGTTTTGTACAACAAACATGAAAACTAAAAATGAAAGGCACTTAACTAAGTCTAGATAAAAAGGCTACGCTGAAAATAAAGTGATTTAGACAACGTATAAGAACGCAACTTGACCAACTACTGAAAACAACATTTAAAAAAAAAGATCTTTATAGATATTGGCAAAGACCAAGAAACTGACAGAGTAAAGTTACATAGATACAACATAATGAAGGTAACAAACGTGGTATTGAAACACAAAGGTATGTCCCTCACACCACTCCACTTAACAGCAAGGGTCAGTTAGGAAAAGACATCATCCATCTAAAGCTGGACAATATTTAGACTGAAACACAAACGTAAGTCCCTCACCCCACTACACTCAACAGCAAGTGTCAGTCAGGAAGAGACATCATCCATCTGGAGCTAGACAATATTTAGACTGAAACAAATTGTAAGCTTCAACTCTACTGGTCCCAAACAGTTGTTAATTTAATTCTTTCTTGGTGTTCACTGGCCGTATGCTCTAGTGGGAAGATCCTTTTGTTCGCACACACCTGGACTTTTGTCGGCACATCTGTTTTACAGATCTGGCTTATTTTTATGCAGACTATCGGTTCCATGCCTTTCAAGCAGATGCAGACTGACTGAAGGAACCCCCCCCCCCCTTCCCGTCAGCTGCCTCCTCAGACATGCTTGATATGAGGGCAGTGGATATATACTTAGTTCTTTCAAATAGAGATCTGGAACCCACATAAGAATAATTCTTTCTATTCCATGTAGTTTTTATTTTAAATCACTGTTTTCGTTTTATAGGAATTGATGTAATACACAAGAGCACACGTGAAGTTAATGTAACAATTGGGATAGAGTGGATTAGTGTAACAATGAACAGGAACAGTGGATATTATAAACATATATCTCACTACAAGTAACTAATAAATGAATGGTATGTTGACTGGTACTCAAAGAGTTAATGGCGCTCCTACTTGTAAGCTTCCACCCTCCATGAAGAAGACACGGTGACGAAGGAGTCCTGCCGAGACATATACTTGATGGGACCTGGCAGCAAGGCTCCCGGTAGAAAACGGCTGAAAGCAAAGCTCTCTTGTTCAAATATTGACACTGTTCCATCCATGGATTGCACACAGAGGAAGTCCTTCCCTTTATAAACACAACATTTAAGTAATGCTTTCAGGCATGGCAATAAGTCAAAAAATAGCCCACCCCCCCCCTCCTATTTTCTTTCACTTACATTCATACTAAGATGAAAGTATTTTGTTCTTTCATGGCAAAAGGTTAAAGCCTGCTAAATAATGGGATGATACCCACCATAAGCTCACACACATACACTTATGTGTGCATGCACCTACACATGCCCGCAAACACACACATGCCCACAAACACACACATGCCCACAAACACACACATGCCCACAAACACACACATGCCCACAAACACACACATGCCCGCAAACACACACATGCCCACAAACACACACATGCCCACAAACACACACATGCCCACAAACACACACATGCCCACAAACACACACATGCCCACAAACACACACATGCCCACAAACACACACATGCCCACAAACACACACATGCCCACAAACACACACATGCCCACAAACACACACATGCCCACAAACACACACATGCCCACAAACACACATAAAGCCCACAATAAAATAGAAATAAATACCAATTGTCCGTTATAAAGAGAACCGGCCCTAGTTTAATTAAACTAGGAGAGGGTTATGAATTCTTTCCAGGATTTACTGGTTTATGTATTGGTATCAAACTTCTTCCTGATCCCTTGAGCAGTGAGCCATCTAATCACCCAGTTTTGGGTCCCGCACCCACACACCCACACACACAAAAACAAGAGTAGATCCACTGCCCCATAACAACATGTTATAAAATGCACCAGCTTAGGGGCTTGCCACAATCAGATGTTTTGAGCTGACAAGCGCAGATATCACAGGCAAGCTGTAAACCACATGTTGTTTTTTTGTAGTGATGAGGTAGCAGCAGCAGAAGAAGAAGAGGGAAACATAGGAGGTCCTGTGTACAAGTTGTGTATACTCAAAATTCCATGGTCAGTGGCATTCACACAAATGTAGGTCATAAAGCCACTGAACTGGAAACACTATCAGAGAAGAAAATTACCGATGGGTAGATATCATACTCTTATTCTGCTGTTCATCTCTGAAATGCATACAGGCACTCAAGCAACTCATTCAAAGCTTAGCTGGACTGTGTAGTCAGAGATGAGATAGCCAGTCTCGTCCCTGTGTAGTTCCAGAGCCCTACTGTGAGGAACAACAAGATCAGACTCTCTGCCTGCCTAGCAAGCCAACCAAAAGAACTAATTAAGTAAGTATATCCTTTGCAGTCAGAGTGCATCTGCCCAAATGGCAAGAAACCAACAGTCTGCACACAAATAAGCCAAATCAGTCAAATGGATGTGCATGCAAAACTCAAGTTCTGGAACAAGAGTAAAGTGCAGAAGCGGACCAAAAAAAAAACCCCATAATTTTCTGTATGAGTTTACATTTGGTGATTGTGAAGAAGAAGCAGCTAGTCTCATTTCAAACGTTTCTTAATCAGATTTGATGACAAGCATGGCGGGTTACCAGGTTACACATCTCTGCCTCCCTAACTGACCGCAGTAACATTTGGGCAAGTCGCAGCCAACTGTCTCGGATTCAGCATTCTATAGAACAGTTAGTGCAAAAGTCAGCTGTGTCGGCCAAAGGGGGCAAATATCCCAGCCGTGTTGTAAATGGGCACAACACATTTACATCTTTGGATGAAAGCAGGAGCAGAAGAACTCTCTAGAAAAATTAAAATGTACACATGTGCACAAAAAGTCAGAGACAATGACATCAGAGGCGCACATAAGTGGGAGTGGCTCAGTTCCATCAACAACAAAAAAAGGAACAAAAGAAGAAGACAGATAAGAATTAAAGACATTTGTTACTGATATGGATTAGACAGCTAAGAAAGAAAGATACTTGTTACAGAAATGGATTAGATAGCTAAGAAAGAAAGATACTTGTTACAGAAATGGATTAGACAGCCAAGAATGCAGGATACTTGTTACAGAAATGGATTTGATAGCCAAGAATGAAAGATACCTGTTACAGAAACAGATTACTACTAAACACTTTTTCACAAAGTTTGATTTGCCATTTCCTTATAAATGTTCACCTTTAACCCCTCCAAATGCTCCATAGCAGAAATTGTAGGCTGTCCTCTGTAGATTGTGCTCATAGAGAAGGCTGATCTGGTACTGACTCCCATGCTCCACAGTGCCCACGATCACTAGATTAGGGAAATATCATTCACTTTAAACAACTTTATACATATTCGAAGACCTGAAACATTACACAGGCAGAGTTAATTTTCTTGGACATAGGACTACCAGTTAGAAAACTTCTGTAATTAAAAATAAAAACCATCATAAAAAATGTGTAATCAAACATTCTTCTTCTTTAACAGTTAGCATCTTCAGTGCATCTACTCCAACACTGGTGGCACAAAGGATAGTGTGGTCTTCCTTTGTGCCCCACAGCTTATCTTGTAGAGTTGTTCCTGTGAGCCTCTGTAACTGACGAGTTTGTAAGACATGCTCAAGAGTTTGCTTTGGTGCACCACATCAATCAACATGTGGCACAGTTAGGGAGACCCATTCGATCTAGGTGCTCTGAGTTTATGATCGCTCTGAGTTTACAAAGTCCCTTTCAGAAATTTCTGGTCTGTGCATTGACTGACTGACTTTCTACCCCACCAGGACATCACACAAGCGATAAACACCCAATGACACAATGTGCCACCATGTGGATGAGGATCACTGTGGAGAGGCCCCAGACAATTGGTCACATTTATGGCCTGCCTATTTTGCAGCCCCTGGCAAAAGCCAGAGTGGGGCTTCAAAGAACAAAAAGTTTCATCCTTAAAAGGACGTAGATGGTCTGCGCATTCCTGCCAAGCCTATTTATACTATCACGATGATGTGGTGTAGTGGCTAGACACTTGTCTGCGGATCGGAAGATAGTGTGTTTGGAGTCCTGGTGCAGCTAAATTTTTAAAAACAATTTTTAAAATTTGTAATGACCTTGGCTTCCACGTTGACCCAGCCTTAAATAAGTACCTGGTACAGTCCTGGGAAGTAAAGGCGTCCAGTGTGATGTTGACCATATGACCCATCAAGTGCCAACCAGATTATAAAATATAGGTCTAGCCCTATATGCCCAATTCGCCTGAAGGCGTGGAAAAAAGGTCCTTTACTTTTGTTATGGTCATGTTCTGGTCTGCAATTGTTATCTTCTCTTCAGTTTACCGTCCCAGATTATT